GATATTTTTTATGAAAATGAATTGATGTAGAAATTATTAATAAATGAGTGGGGGTGGATAATATGAAGTCATAGAAGAAATTTCAATTAAAGTTGGAAAGTGGATTGAATTAAGCGATACCTTTGCAAGTGATTCTTAAGTCGGCAAATATGAAAATGGAATAAAGGTTGGTAGATGGGATATTTATAATAAAAAATCTCAAAAAAATTTGAAGATGTAAATAAGAAATTTAATATCAAATTTAGTGGTGGAGGAATGTATATTTAGGTTGGAGGAGAATCTAAAAAGAATGGAATTTGGATAGAATTGAATGAATAATTTAGATATTTATCTTAAGTCACTTTGAAAGGCTTTTATAGTGCTGGTAAAAAAGTTGGTAAATGGAAGATTTTTCAACCATATATTAATGTAGAAATTATTTATCAATTAAGTAGTGGTGGTGGATCATATATAGAATAAGGTTCATTTAAGTTTGGAAGCTGGTGCGAATTAAGCATTGGTTTTTCTGAATAAAGTTAAGTTGTTTATGTAGGTGATTATTAAAATGGCAAAAAAGTTGGAAGTTGGGATATTTTTTATTAAGAAGAATTGATGTAAAAATTATTAATAAATCAGTGGTGGTGGATAATATGAAGTCATAGAAGAAATTTCAATTAAAGTTGGAAAATGGATTGAATTAAGCGATAACTTTTCAGATTACAGTTAAGTTATTTATGTTGGCGAATATTAAAATGGTAAAAAGATTGGAAGATGGGATATCCAGGTTCGAATGGAAAATGAATTCAATTTTTAATAAATGTAAATTTTGGTTAAAAATAAAATATAAAATTTAGAGGTGGTGGTTAGTATGAAGAAGTAGATGAAGTTTCAAATAAAGTTGGGAGATGGTGCGAATTAAGCATTGGTTTTTCTGAATATAGTAAAGTTGTTTATGTAGGTGATTATTAAAATGGCAAAAAAGTTGGAAGATGGGATATTTTTTATAAAGAAGAATTGATGTAAAAATTATTATATTTAAAATAATAATTAGAGGAGGCGGTTCATATGTATAAATAGAATAGGGTTCAATAAAGAATGGATCATGGTCTGAATTAGATGATTATTTTGACGATGATTTATAATATATAAATCATGGTGAATATCGAATGGGTAAAAAGGTAGGCACATGGATATAAATAGATTTAGATTATGACAACTATTATAAGGAAACAAAATATGATATTTGAATAATATAAAAGATTATAAGTCTTATTAAATTTGCCATAAAAAATATCACACCAGATTCGCTTAAATCTTTCTTTTAAATATATTTATTTCTTTCAAGTTATATTATATTAAGAATATTAGTGATGATAGAAATTTATAAAATTTACATGG